GTACGCACCTGTTGGTAGGAAATATGTACACGTGTTTCTGTAAAGGAAGATCACGTGTCTTTAAAATTTTCTAAAGGTTATTTTTCTAGTGAAAATATATGTTTACACAATGTACATTTTGTGTTTACCATTATTTAAACATGTTTGAACTTGGAATATTTATTCATATGTTTTGGCTTGAGGGCTGTGGCTAGTAGGTCTCGTTATAACCAGATACATGCTGTGAGGTGTGCATGCATATATGATAAAGCTGTGACTGGGTACATATTTGATATGTTTGGCTGGCTATTTGTTATGTACTGTATTTGTACAGGTCAGTAAAATAGTATCCAGATGTGTATTTAACCTTATTTATTATCGCCCCTTTGTCCCTTGCGGTTTGTCCATGTGCATTATTTTGTCCACATGCGTGTTTGCGCGTATACGTGGACATGTGCGTATGTGTATGTGTGTGTGTGCTAGTGTGGTCTATTATTACATATATACGATGATACATTGTAGTATGTACTTTAAGGCATGGACATAAAGTTAAGATAGTGTAGGACATGCTTACATTATGATAAAGACATAGTTTTAGAGTAAAATAAGTGATATTTGAGATTATGATTATCGTATGGTCCTGGATTCATTCTGACAATGCCTTCTCTGGTAATACGTTAGATGGGTATGTAGCTATATAGGAGTATAATTACCCCTTTGTGACTTACATTTGTATCATTGCAATGAATTGAATTTTTTCTGTAGATGCGTGCAGAGGCATGGGACCTCTACTAGACCAGGAACTGGAACGCATTGACCGTAAGCACATGGCTATGTCTGAACTCAACCAGTCGCTGGTCGAGGCCCTGAATATGTATCACTCATTAATGAAGCAACCACAGTCATTCAGCTACAAGCCAGTGCCACAGGTGGCGCCACCTAGCCCATACCCCACACAACCACAACAGGTGAATAGGATATGTTAATGTTTATACTAACTGCTAATTGTGTGACTGTATATCAGAATTTTTTTTAAAAGGTTGAAAGACCTTCAAAACTGCAAAAGGGTGAAAAGAAATGTCTCTATGTACCACACTGACCATACTGTAACAAATGTGCATGAATTTGAGTTTTGTGATAGATTCTCATCCAATCAGCAGCCTTGTCACAGCCAATTAAGAAGGTCTTGTTATGGTAAGCAGTGTTTCCCCTGGCCCAAAAAAGTGTGAGTTGGTAAATTTTTTTTTGGTGTGTTTGCACGTTTTGAGGTCCTAGCAAAGCGAGCACCGCAGGTTGGTGCATTCTATGCACTATTTGGTGCATTATAAGCACTGTTCTATGGATGAACAGAGATTTTCGTCAGCGAGGTGGTGTTTTGAACAAATTTCTGTGTGGCGGCTGAGAATTTGAGCGAGGCGGCCCGCCTCGCTAGTGGCAATGCAGGGGAAACACTGATAAGACATTGCTGGGACTCGTGCAATTAGAAATACGATGCTACTTGAGTTTTCTCGTAGATGTGATGTGTTTCTGTCAGATCTATTCTCGTAACATTAACATTGCTCATAGGTGTTATCATAGCATTAAGATTAGGCTAAACTTTAAGATGTTTTTAACAACGGGCCCCTGATTATTTTATTGTTCAGATGTACATGCAGCCAGTGCCTCAGGGATATGCTCCTCCTGATATGTCTCATCCCGATGGTATGCCTGTGTCTATGCCGCCACAAGCAGGCCAGATGACATCACAGCCAGGACCAATGACATCACAGCAACAGCCATTGACATCGCAGAATATAGGCCAGCCACAGTATGGTCCACTATCAAGGTAAGGACTATGTTCCATTTTTGACAATATACTATGTTGCCTTTGTCTACATTTCGAGATAGGTACCAGTCTATAAAAATTTGCGTCACATAACTACGTGCACTTCATTTGTGGGACCGTTTGATAATCCCATTATCGCGAATCTCATGATGGCAGGCGCACAAACTCAAATAATTGTCATGCTGAAGTCATCAGTAATCCTCATGTACGCTGACAGGCGAGACTAAATTTGTCTTCATTTAATAATTTCTTGATATATTTGGGAGATGATCGTTTTAAGAGTGATTTGTCCTGATAATTTGTCATCCCCAGTGGTCAACAAGTATCTCATGTAAACCAAGATGGATACGGTGCACAAGCCATCACCACACAAGCACCCATGGGCTACAACCCAGGATTGCCTCAGCAGCAGTTGCAGTTCCAGCAAAATTTCCAACCTACTCCACCACAGCAACAGCCATTGATCTGAGAATGGCCTACAGGAGTGCATGCTTGTAGGAGTCATCTGAAGGCCAGTGCCACTGAGTGCTCTCCAAATTGGATAGTCTATGAGGTTTGCCTGTGCACGCCCCCTGGTGTACATGCATGTATGTAACCAATTGGTAGCTTACATGCTATTAGTATACCTGATATTGAAGCAAGGTTAATGTGACATTTATAAGAAAATTGGCTAATAATGGACCGTCGGTGTAGTTATGGCGTTACCATGAGTATATAAGTCGGGGAAAAGTGTCTCCATGATTCTCAACCCGAAAGCTCAGTCAAATAGGACAATTATGAGTTCTGGGTCAGTCAGGCATAAGTGGTGATAGTATTGATAAGCCTTTAAAGGCCCAGTAAGCACATCTTTTCGAAAATTACACGGTACTAAAGTAACAAACGCTGTCGTGTGTGTAGTGTTTGTAACAACCAACAAGCCAAGTCTACCAAAAAGTATTTGTTTATCAACACTCAAACCCATAACCTTTGACAGCATAGAACTACCAAATAGGTTTTGTTCACGTGGCAGAGTTAGTTAATATTTAGCATGGGATGTTGTATTCCATATGTTCTGTCACCAGTATGACGAAGCCACGGATGATAACATTGTTTTGGCACGAAAACACATGTGGAAATCAAATTTATTGATCAAAAATGTTGAAACTTAAATTTGTCAGCAAAAGCTGAGAATTTCTGTTTTTTTAAATATCTTTAATACTATCTCTTATTTGATGGTAATGTTATGTAGATAAACATCTGCATCACTTTCTTATCCTGCACTTTGCATATAAAATGTGCTTATTGGGCCTTGAACCTTTTCTATATGTGGACGCATTGTTTTTGCTAGACTTCAATGTTCGCAATTTTCTGGATGCACGTAGTGGGGTAAGGTTATTTATATATTGGTACCATTTGTTTGCTTTTCATCGAGGAGAAATCTGTTGGGAGAAAACTTTAATCCTACAGAGTACTACAGGGCTGCATGCAGTCAAATCATTGCAACCGTGTGCTAAATTACACTTCCCGAGAATAGTATCTATACAGATCACTATTATTAAAGAAAACACTCGTAGTGCATGTATTTGTGTAAATAATTAATATTAATATAAACGGATGAAAGTTGCGGAGATGTGTGCGTTTGTAGAGCTATGATTGGCTAAACTTCTGACGGATAACAGTGTGTATAGTGTGCATGCTCCGGTTTATACCTATTTATCACCTGATAATTGAACAGAGATACTAATTCTGTGTCTTCTCTGATGCTTTAGAAGCATTTCGGTGAATGTCATATCGCTGTGGAATATTGTTATATTACCAGAAAAACGTTGTTCACCTCTCTGCGTTCTTGCGTGGCTGCTTGCGAGTGGGCGTGCGTGCGTGCGTGTGTACGTGTATGTGTATGTGCATGGGAAAAGATAAATGAGCAGGTGAGGCTCAGGGTCATACGTAACAAAGCTTCGACAATTACAGAAATAAATTAGTTGAAAGCAAACGAATGGTTCTCCTCATCACTAATAACTGAGTTCTATAGGCGTTCTTCCAAATGTTATTCCTAGAAGGTTCTTTGAACAATTAAATTTTAGTATATAAATAAGCATGAACATATGTATATGACATGTATATACTGTATATATATATATATGTTCATGGTTCTGAGTGCCAGTTTGAAACAACATATGTGGATAAGTCTTGATACGTTTGGGGCTTATGTTTATTCAATGGCATTTATTCGTTGCACAAAACAACGTTTTTCTAACATTGAGACATTCTTAGCAATTATTTTCAACAATTCTCAGTTTGCAATACGTTTATCATAACATCTGGGATGACCGTTGGAAAGTCACATTATATAGGACACAAACGCTGTCAGATTTTTAGCTGGGAAATCTATATAATTATTGTGTGCATTGATTACCATTCACTGTGAATGCTATTGGTACTACCGTACCAGTCTGTTCTGTTTAGCTGTAATTTTTTAAGTTTTTATTTGTAAACAGATACTGCGCTAAAGGATAGTTACAGAAAACGCCCCTCCCCACACAAACACATTAATAGAGAGGTTAACACGCCATTCCTGCAAAGCACCATGTACACCTACCAGTTACTTTTAGTTGTACAACAATGAGATAGAACAATCGGTAAAGGTGGTCCAGTATCCAACAGGCAAATAGCTATATAATTTCGGCTATACTCTGAGGCTTAGCCCTGTGGTGTGTGTGTATATATGATGCATACCGGAAATTATGAATGTATTTAAAATCTCTGACGTCAGTTGTGAACTCACACGTGACGTGAATTGTTATTAATAAATAATATATCTATAACCTTAGATCACGTGTTGTTTGTTATTTGCTGCATCATTATCAACCGTGATTACGTGAAGAATTTCCTATAAAGATTTATTTAATTGATACCACTAATAAATGCATGCTAATAACATGGTTCTGAGAGCTGGGGTCGAGTGTAGAAGAAGAATACACCCTATAGACAGCAGTGACGGCTAATTAAAGAAAAGATCTCAGGCAAATGAAATCATCGCAACTAATTGTATTGTAAACATTTCAATATATTACCTTACAACAATGTTGTCAAAAACATAACATGGAATAATATGCCTGACCTTAACTTTTCTCTCCATGTGTAATAATACTTTTAGGTGCACTGAAAACTGAAACTTTAAGAAATATTTATTCCTAAAACATTACATTCATACAATTGAGCTTTTATTACAATGCAGTTTACATGCTTTATATAACGCACTCAATATACAGACAATGCGCATGGTCATTCCTATAATACGGTTGCCAACATTGCAGCAAAATTATTTGTTGCACTTCACAAGAATTGCACATTTTCAGCACACGGTTTATAACAATTGAACAAAATATATATTCATGATGGGTTAACAAAATGTAAACACAACGATTTTAATCACCCCAACAATGATCTAAGCTCACCTGCACCAAAGCAACATTCAAATGTAATAATAATTTATTGTAACATTATTTCAGGAATATATATATATATATATATATGTATATATATATCTTATATATTACCATGATAAACTAAACTATATTGAGCTAATATCCAGTTTGGGAACATAAAATATACATACAGAAAAGAACATTGTCGTTCAATATGCTAATCAACGTAATTTCGAGGTATTTGTAGGGGCACCCACGACGATCACCAGGGAGTCTTCATCGTAAACTATCGAACCCTATGCCAACCACTATCTCTAACCCTCCTCGCAGTTACTATAGCAACAAACACTAAATATTAATCGTGTTCACCACTACTGAAGCGTACCAGGTGTGTACTAGGCGATCCTGGAGAGCACATATTAGTTAACAAGCCTGTCTGAGTATTTGTTGACAGATGACAGTGATGCATGTCAGGTCTTTAGCACACCCACGCACGCGTGCATGTACGCACGTAAGCGTGCACGCATGCATGCACGCACACATTGATAGGCGAAGCTTACTGGTGCCTAGCCAGCATAGTAACACACGACACAGTAACTCATGTGAGAAATCACAGTTGAAAATCATATACCTCACACCATCTAATACGGGATCATATCACATCGAGCATTTAATCATCTCCACGTTTGAACATAAGCTAAGCTGCCATACCGCACGCACACATAAGACAATATATTACACTTGTAGGTATTACTAAAAATATACCATTACTAGAGTATAGTAGTGATGTGTTTTTGGTATTACGAACATGACAGTCAATGCACTGGTATGAATTATACACGTGACAAATGTGTTCACCAAATACAAATTACCCCACTGCAACTGCAAGGTAACATATACATATATCTAAAAGGTGCAAGCACTTGTATAGGAATTAGCATACATGTAAATCGTACATTTTGAGGAGTGCTCAGAAAAGAATTCTGAAGCAATCTATCATATTTGATAGACTCTGCCAATATCACTGCATTTGTGACACAGTTACACCTAAAAGATCCCTACTTTCTATAACAGTCGAACAGTTTGGTTTTCCTATGGATGCAACATGAGATAGACTAGGTGATGTGGACGTGTCTTATACTAGTTTCAGGTACATAGTATTATGGATGTACTATTTTCTAACTAATACCTCATTGATAGAGCATTGGGTATCACGAAAAAATTAAATAACATAACATACATAGATAAGTTTACATAAGATATACATCATATCCTGATCATATGTATTAATTGATATATACATTTTGTGAAACTTAAAGATATCAATGATATTAACAATTAACAATATATGAAAAAGAAGTTTTAACATTTTATATCTCGATATAGACTGAAAACTATCATAGGCCTATTTCTATGTTCTGTGTGTACATTAATGTGTGCGTGTTTGTGAGTGCGCATGAGTGCGTGCGCACGTGGTGTATTCCTAGGTGTGAGCATTGTGGGTTCATACGTGTGTGCCTGCATGCATTACGAACCATAGATTTAAGAATTTCTATCTTACATAATTGAAATAGGATTATTAATCTAATGAGAAATGTAACTACATGTGTGTTTATATGTGATTAGTTACATTTCCTTAGAATGCAATGAGTACACATTTTAATTTGGGAATGAAGTATAGTATAAATAGATAAAAGCAAAGGAATATATGAACGAAAATAGCTGTTACAACGGCTGTGGAGTAGTATACACAAGATTTCACATTGTGTATATATTGTTTACAATGTGTACATCAAGCACTGAAAGGTTTATATGTTGCCTTCATAGGTCAACTCTCAGTTAATTTCACTATGATTATTAAATACACCCTACATTTACATTTACCCTCATAACATAAAATATCTGAATCAGTAAATATATCAACATGATTAAACTTATCCCCAATTTAACTCCAAATTAGAAATAATAACTAATTTAGGCATATTCCACATCATTAAAAAAACTACGAGATACACGATAAACTCGAGGGGTTAATCGAGACGTTACGCGACCATTACAGATGGATTTCAGGTTGTCTCAGTGTTGCGTCTTCATCACGTGCACCGCGAACGAGTAGCGGTCGTGACAATTATTATTATGTTTATTATATGTCATATTTATACGTTTGCTATTATTATTACGTTAGAGATCAAGACGGAGAAGAAGTCGGTGACGTTCGATGAGGAGGTGCACGTCGCGACGATGGCCGACGCTGACGAACCGGTGGAGATCGACGAGGAGCGCATCGATCGATGTCTGGACATGCTGCAGAACGCTGACCCGACCGGGGAGCTGGACGACCCCCCAGAGATGGCCATGCTAGAAGGTAAGCCGACTGCACTATAGGCGTGAACCTGAAGCAAGGTTAATGTGATCACGTCAGCGTAAATAGTAAAAATAAAACAATTATGTCCACTTTTTCACAAAATGTAAGTGATTCTGTTCACTTGGTTAAATTATTGCGATATACTTCCTATTTTGCTATTCCGTTCGATGTGAACAAGCTCTTGTGCCTCATACATAGCCCATAACAAGCATTTATTTAATGTCGTGATCATAATATTAAATCGCTTAAACTAGTTGAGAAACAATCCTATCAGGTAAGAATTTGAGGATACATGTAGTCCCGTTAGTACAAACATTTAATGTACAAAAATTTGGAATTTTTTTTTACATGTATACACCATAGTAAATTGTGACATAGTCGATTTAATGTGCTTTCATGTTAGAAGGTAAGCTGACGATCATGTGTGTACGCACACAATTTAGATACGTACGCACATGTTACTGAATCCAGACTAAAGTAGCGTTAGCATATCAAAAATGTATGAAGCGTGGACGGAGATTACTGTTTGCCAGTGGCAGTGAACCTTACATTGTGTTGGCCAGAGGGTCGTTAAATAAACGTGCATGGGTTGCGCGGGACGCTCACTATGGTGTACGGTTTGTCAATTTAGTCCAACCATATGTCGGTTTACAAACACACACCATATTTCCGCCAACCATACACATTGTAACGCCACCAACACGTTATGTATAAAAACCTTATCTTC